TAATTCCCTAATTATAGAAACTCCAAGAGGTTATGACTAAAAGTCCATGAGGTGATAGAAAATAAGAATAAACAAACAGGTTAGATAATACTTCCAGGACAAAATTAGTCATCCCTGAAGACTAGAGAATTCTACCTAAGAAAATCCAGTTTCTTCCATTAGCAAGTTGCATTTTAAAAAAAGAAAAAAGATGAGAGGATTGTCTGGGTGGCTCAGTCAGTTAAGCGTAGGACTCTTGATTTTGGCTCAGGTCATGATCTCAGGATCATGAGATGGAGCCTCACATTGAACTTTGCACTCAGCATGGAGTTTGCTTGTCCCTCTCCTTCTCTCCCTCTACTCCTTCCCCTGCGCTCTCTCTCTCCCTCTCAAATAAATAAATAAATAAATAAATAAAATAAAGATGAGAAACAGATTTTTTTAAAATTTTATTTATTTATTTTTGTGAAAGAGAGAGAGAGAGAGATAGATAGAATGAGTGGTGGGGAAGGGCAGAGGGAGAAGCAGCTTCCTTGCTGAGCAGGGAGCCTGATATGGAATTTGATCCTAGGACCCTGGGATCATGACCTGAGCTGAAGGCATATCTTAACTGACTAAGCCATCCAGGTGTCAAAGAAACATAGATTTTCAAAAACAAAAAATATATTAACCAAAAGCAATATATAGACCTTGGTTGGAGCTTCAAAAAAAAAAAAATGTTTAAGATAAGTAAAGTAGACTGAGCATAGACTTGAAATCAGATGATACTAAAGATTTATTATTCTGTCTTTTTGTCCATGATGCTATACTGGTATTGTAGTTATACATTTAAATCCTTAATTGTTACTTGTATATACTGAGACATTACAGAGAAGATATGTTATCTGACATTTATTTTAAAATACTGAAGTTTTTTTTTTTTAATGTTAGTGAGACAGAAGAAACAATGTTTACAGAAAGATGATGGTGGTTAAAGCATGATGATGGGTACATGCCAATTAATTATATTATTTTTTCTGGTTTGAGTATATTGAACTATTTCCACAGTAAAATTTATTTTTAAAATGGTAAATATTCAAACTGAGCTCATTATGTTACTCATACTCAATAAAGGGCAGCTACTATTAAAACTGAGAGAAGGAAGGCTAAAAAATGAAGCTGGGGAAGAAAGTTCAAACTATCATCAAATAAATGAGCAAAGACAAGAGTAAGGGAAAAGAGCAAAGCTGGCTGGCCAAAACCAACAAGCGGATGAATGATCAATGCAAACACCACAAACCAGAAGACAATTGTTTATGGCTAGACTATACCTTAAAGTCTCAAATTCAGCATGTCTAAAATTGAACCCATATTCAGTTTCCACAAAATTTTACCCTCAGTCTTTCCTCATTGTAGATAATGACAGAAGCTAGAAACCTAGACGTCAACCCAAAATCTCTTTCCTCTTCACCTCTCACTCCTTTTGAATTCGTCACCCCTGTATCTCTCAAATCCATTCACTTATGTCCCTCTCAGGGATTATCACTCTGGTCCCAAGCCAGATTTCTTGTCCGAGTTACTCCAATAATCTCTAATAGTGATTTCTAGATTTACTCTTGCTCCCATCCCCGTGTGTGGTGTCATCTCAGCAGCTTGAGTGAAATGTTTGCAATTCACATATGAGAACATCACAGCTTTGCTTCAAACCCATCAAGGACTACGATCTCATCCAGATGTACACCTCCACACTTACATCGCATCTCTGCAATCTTGGAGGTTATAGCCACGTTAACTGTCTTTAGGATCCTTGAACATGTTATGCTCTTTCCACTTTGGAGCCTTTGCCTGTAATATTCCCTGCCTGGGATGCCTTCAGACTCACTGTTGTCCTTTTCACCAGACTTCTAACCTCTCAGATGTCACTTGGAATGTAACTTCTTCCAGAAAACCTGCCTTGACTATGCTTCATGATTAGATAGGTCCCCCTGCCATCTTTCCTAGTAGCTCTTTTTTTTTTTTTCTTTTATAGCAGCTTTAAAAGTCATTTAACCAGAAAAAAAAAATTGAAACACACAGCTATAAAGGTTACTTAAAATTAGTAAAATTAAAATATTATTTTAATAAACTATATACTTTATTGTTGGAGGCTACGGTATGGTTGGAGTCAAGGATCATACCAGGCCCTGACTTGTGTCTCCTTCAAAGTCCGGACACCTTGACAAGGTTAAGGACGGGAAAGTTGAGTAACACTGAGAAAAGGGTCTGTGCTATGTGTCGTGCGCTCGCCTATGTGACTTCCCACACACTCTCCCTACAGAAGGGAACAATGTGGTTAGGGTCAAGAGTTCTTAGTTGGTCCTTGTTGTTCCTGTACCTCCCATAACCCACTCCGTGGTTGATTGTCTTGCTAATGGCATTAGCCGAGACTACCTGGCATCACGAGTTTTGCTTGTAGTTAATGTAAACTTGTTATAGAAACTTGCGGTCATCTGACTAGGTACTGATTATTACTCCTTCTATTGTGGTCTGCCTTATAAATGCTTGTAAGATGTGGAATAAAATCGGCACTGTTGGACATCCTCCTCAGTGTCCCTCCTGCCCCCATCTTTTTGTCTCTTTATTTCTTTTCACCATCCTCTTACCCTCACGTTCCCTGGTCAATTTGGCACTCTGGCCACGGCACTTCATGAGGGTAGAATCCTCTCTGTTGTATTTACCGTAGCATCCCTATCTCTCTGCATATGCCTGATAATTGATAGTCAATAAATACTTGCAAGGTATTTACTGAGCCCTAATTCTGGCTAATAGAGATTGCATTAGCTTAGGTATTACCAATATAATAATCTCCTAGAATAGGATAGGACACTTTCAAACTCTATAAACTAGAGACACCTAGAGAATGTACATCTAGAGTTTAGGGAAGAACCAGTGTAAATGGGGTTTGATATGTAGGAAGTTTGTTTTGACAATATATACATGTGGGCCAGAGTAGATGTTGTTTTATATTTGATAGTAAGAGGTCTGTCAAGTTAAAGAAATCACTTTGGTAAAGGAAATTAAGAGGACAAAGTACATTTTTGCCATTCATCTAAGCGTGCTTGGAAGGCTATAAAAAAAAACAGACCTGGGAGAATTGACACAGAGGCCCAGTGGCGTGATGAAGGCTTTGTAAGTTGTTCACTGGGAAGCCTGATACGGGGGCAAGTGTAAAGCAAAATTCTTAATTAAATTGAACATTAGAAGTTGAATTCTGTCTCTAAGTAGACAGAACAGAATTACAAAAGGCCACATGTGGTTATAAGTAATACAGAACCAAGACTCCCCAGGGGCAAGAAACACTGTGTTAATCTCTCAGTGGCTCTGAAAGGAGGAAGAAAAACATATTAAGCCTCCTTGTGGAGATCATGTGATGACTTCCTAATCCCAGCCAGAGGCAGCATTTCCATGGAAACTTATCTTCCCTTCTTCTTCACCCACACACTGCTCCTTCCACCTAAAAAGCCTGCTTTTGAGTCCCAAGAGAGGGGTATGGAAGCACCTTGACGTTTTTCTAAATAATGAGACAAACTCCAGCAGAAAGCAGAAGGAAGCAGAGGCAGGCACTGAGATTCACGTGCAAAGTGACGGTCTTCCCTAGAGCCCCACAGCAGCTCCAGGACCAGACCCGGCTGCTTTCCTTGGAGGTTTCCCTAACATTCGATTAGTCTGTATATGTGGGGGGACCACCCAGCCTCACATCTGGAATAGGATAGAGGAGGAAATCTGGCAGGGACAACTGTGGTGTGAATACTCTTATCCTCTAATCCTTCAACTCACCTTAGTTTAAGCCACTTAATGTTTGTTTGTTTGTTTGTTTGTTTTAATTTAATTTTTTCAGTGTTCCAAGATTCATTGTTTATGCACCACACCCAGTGCTCCAGTAATATGAGACACCAGGCTCGCCTAAACCCCACCCCTCTCTCCTCCAAAACTTAGTTTTTAAGCCCCTTCTTTGACTGGTCCTGGGTTTCATTTCCACCAGTGTTGGGAGCCTACCTGAATCCAGTTCTCTGGCTCTGCCTCTGTAGTTTTCCCCCTGCCTGAAGGATTATTTCCAGTCTCTTGGTCTTTCCAACTTTTGCCCACCATTCAGGTTTTATTCAAGGGGCATCCTTTTAGTAAAATTTGAATACTATTATCCAAAATGATGCAATCCTTTTCAGTATCTTCAGTTCACAAAAATGTCCCCTCATTAAAAGTCTGATATACGTAATATCTATACTGTTCATTTGAAAACGAGCCTAAGTGGTAGAATTAGATTTTTATCCATGCCTTTCAATTTACCTAGCTCACTATACACAGAAAAAGAATTCTGGGATGCGTATGACCAAAAATTTTTGCTGAATGAACATATTGACCCTATTCATTCACACCCTAAATTGAGAATTCTTTTACACGACCCTATGGTAGACAAAATTTCAAAACACTTTCTGATTTCTAGAATTTATGAGTGAAACAAGGTGGCTACAGCATTTAAGTAAAAAGAGTTTCCTTTGGAATATTAGCTAGTAGAAGTCTCCACAGTAAAGCAGACCACCTACCTATCCTTAGCAATAGTCAGAAAATAAACAGATTGCTAGAAAGTAGTCAACTGAATCAAGATAATCAGGGAGACACAGCCAAAAGATTTTTTTTTTCTTCAGATACTTTGTATGAAATAAATAATCTGCAATATAACCAGAGATAAGACAGAATCTCTAGCCTCCGAAAAGCATCTCTGTCTGCAAAGCTGAGTTTTGCAAATTCTGTGGCCTACTTATTACGGTCTCTGAGAAACAACTACCGTGCACCTATAATCTTTAATCTCTAACATTGCCTGAACTTTCTTAATAAGAGAAGCTCTATTCCTGACATCACCTCTTATTTTCTAATTCAGATCTTCATTAATCTCCTAGTCAACTAGCTACCTTTCCTTAGATCAGGAAAAATTATTATTATTATCATTATTATTACCATGTGAATTAAACTATTAATGGTGAATGGTGTTTCTCATTTTAACATAGGCCTGTCCCACTGGTGGGATTTGTGCCAACTCTGAAGAAATGTTAGTCATGTGGTTTTCAGAAGATGAAAGCTTAAGATAAAGCCCAAGAATGTTTGATGCTGGAGGTGGGACTCATATTATATAGGTCTCAGCCAAAACATGTGATAGTCACTGTAGGGGTAGCTGGAAAGAGAAGTGCGTGGCTCAATTAACTGGCTCAAGCCGATCTGTGAGGTCTAGGGGAAGAATGCTCCTGGCTGCTTTGTGCTTCCTGCTCTGGAGTTTTCGGACCTCCACCGGCCATTTCCCTCGAGCCTGTGCCTCCTCCAAGAGCCTGATGGAGAAGGAATGCTGCCCACCGTGGAGGGGTGACGGGAGTCCCTGTGGCCAGCTTTCAGGTAGGGGTGCCTGTCAGAATATCGTTCTGTCTAATGCCCCCCGTGGGCCTCAGTTCCCCTTCACAGGGGTGGATGACCGGGAGTCTTGGCCCTCAGTCTTTTATAATAGGACCTGCCACTGCTTTGGCAACTTCATGGGATTCAACTGTGGAAATTGTAAGTTTGGCTTTTGGGGACCAAACTGCACAGAGAAACGACTTTTGGTGAGAAGAAACATCTTTGATCTGAGTGTCCAAGAGAAGAACAAATTTCTTGCCTACCTTACTTTAGCGAAGCATACCACCAGCCCAGACTATGTCATCCCCACAGGCACCTATGGCCAAATGAACAATGGATCAACCCCCATGTTTAATGACATCAACATTTATGACCTCTTTGTCTGGATGCATTATTACGTGTCAAGGGACACACTGCTCGGAGGGTCTCAAGTCTGGAAAGACATTGATTTTGCTCATGAAGCCCCAGGTTTCCTGCCTTGGCACAGACTCTTCTTGTTGCTGTGGGAACAAGAAATCCAGAAGCTCACTGGGGATGAGAACTTCACCATTCCATATTGGGATTGGCGAGATGCTAAAGGTTGTGACATTTGCACCAATGAGTACATGGGAGGGCACAACCCAGCAAACCCTAACTTACTCAGCCCAGCATCATTCTTCTCCTCTTGGCAGGTAAGACATCCTGGACATCCAATATTAGAGCATAAAAGAACCTTAGCAATTAGGTCTTTATACACCTCCCTCGCCATCTCTCCTGCCAAGAGCAGAAAAGATCTATTAAAAGTTCTCAGCGTACCTCGTATTTTCCTTTATAGTACACTTCACAATTGTGATTCCATAGGCATGTGTGTGTTTATTTGTCTAATATCCTCTACCATGTTCCTAAACTCTAATAAATAAAGAGTGTTTGGTTCATCACTGTATTTCTCAGCACATAGAATGGTACCTGGCAAGTGGTTAGGGCTCATTAAGTGTTTGTTGGATGGATGAGTGGATATTTAGATGATTAAGTTAATGACCTAGGTCAGTGTTCCTGAAATTTTCTTCACAATAAAATTCATACAGTGTACAAATTACAAATCCCTGCTCCTAGCTCTTAGACCCATTGATCAGAAATTTAACAGGGAGCCTTTGGGAAGACATCATTTACTAAATGTCTATGACAATTACTATCATCAGGGACATTGGGAGAATATTATTTAGATTAAATCTTTTTTAAAAACATATGAGGACCCTGGGACCCAAATAGGTAAATAATGAAAACAGCTAATTTACATTGAGCATTTAGCATGTGTAAAGCCCTGTTGCAAGTGTTTCTGTGTAGTTAACTCGGTTAATACTTTTACTATCCTTTCCCTTTGCTAAGGTTTAAAACACTGAGCTATAAAGGTAAACTGTACACGATCACAGGATCACTAGGAACTAACAGATATGGGTCAGGCTTGGCTGCCTGACCACCTATATTGTTCCCGAGGACATGTCTGCTATGATGTCTTCAGCCAGAGGATCTAGCTTACTCTGTCTCATCTTTTTTCATTAGCTTGTGGAAGAAATTAGCTTTTTTCCTAACTATGTGCAAACTTTAGAGGTACAAGGTAAGGGATTGCAATTCTGAAATTTAATTTCTATTTCTCCTATGCTGAATTTTTCACTCTGGATTAGGGACAAAATGTGAGCAAAGAAATATGCTTTTAATTATTTATCATTTTAAAACCATAAGGAGAAAGAAATGTTTTTCTGTCTGCATTCCAGACATTTCTAATACAGCACTTTTGACTAGCAGGGCTTTATGGAACTGAGCCCAAAGGTTAAATGAGATGGGAAGAGTCTGGCGTTTGTATCTTACGCTCTGCAAGTTTGGAGTGTGAAGGGCTTCCTGCCCTCCCCACTAAGTTCACACACTTTCCAAGTGGAGTCTATTGAAGTTCATTGAAAAATGGTCATGGTGTAGTATCTGGTATCACTAATGTCAGCTATTTACCAAAAGGAATGAGTGTATTTATGCAGGAAAGGCTGGAAAACATGAGCTTGAAAAAAAAAAATCTATTTCAATAAGCCTTCAGACCTCCTGCCTTAATTTATAAAGTGCAAAACTCTCATCTAGTTCTCTCATCCTCTGTTACTGCTTAAAATACTGCTAAGCGAGGACAGGGATTTTGAGTCCACTATAATTCTTTCCTTAGCTGTACCACCTCACTTGATCCAGAAAGGCTGGTGGCTTACCTAAACCACCAAAAATGTTACAACATCCACATGGAAGCTTAACAGACAAATGCTAATAGATATTTGATTCCATGAGATATATGCTAGTTGGTGTTACTAGAATTATATATGCATTTTTTTCTAATAATTTATTGAGTGGAAAATTCCTCCCCATCTCCTTTTTTCTTTATGATTGCAGCTGATTTTATTTCTAAATACATCTTTCTGGGTCTAGTGGGTAAACACTGGACTGAAATTATGATATTAGTTTCCATATTCCTCAATGATTAAACTGCTTTGTGGTAATTGGTGCTAAAATTCAAAATCAGAAATAGAGTGAACAAAGGTCATTGAAGAAAAACAAGCAAATAATAGTTTAAATAAAAAATAGAAAACAAAAAATAAAAAAGAATTTGTGTCTGCCTACTGTGAGTGGTGTCACTGTGAGGTGACAGCTGCTGTTTCCATTTCTGGTTACCATCCTTCAAAAATGAAGATCAGTTGTTTATAGCCATTTAATTCAGTACTTCTTAGTATCTAAACCACTTAGGGAACTTAAAGAAAATTGCATGGATCTGCCCATCTAATTCCTGCTGGAAAATCCTCTTCAGGTGGTCTACTAGGAGGAAGTTCAGGCATCTGCACTTTTAAACATTTTTTAAAAAAATTTATTTATTTATTTTAGAGAAAGAGAGAGTGGGGGAAGGGACAAAGGGAGATAGAGCAAGTGAATCCTCAAGCAGACTCCCCACTGAACAGGAGCCCCTCCTGGGGCTCGATCTCACAACCCCGAGATCACAACCCTAGCCAAAACCAAAGTCCAGCACCCAACTGACTGAAACACCCAGCCACCCCCAGGCATTTGCGTTTTTAAAACAGTCTCTTGTGGGACACCTGGGTGGCTCCTGGGGGACGCCTGGGTGGCACAGTCAGTTAAGCATCCAACTCTTGGTTTCAGCTCATACGGTGAGATCCAGGCTGTCGCCCAGCCTCAGGATCAGCATGGAGTCTGGTGGATATTTTCTCTCCCTCTCCCTCTGCCCCTCCTGTTTGTGTTCTCTCTGTGTGTCTCTGTGACTATCTAAAATAAATAAATTTTTTTAAAGTCTTTAAAAATAAATAAATAAAACCTTCTCTTGTGATTCTAATGTGCAGCCAGCATTGAGAATCACTGATTTAATGAATCTGGAAATTGTCCTGGTATCTATTTCACTTTAGAAACTCAGGTTCTGTAATAAACATACCCCTAGTTTAAATGTTCCCGCCTGAATTGTACACTCAAATCAAGACGGGAGCAGCTCTGTGTGAAGTGAGAATCAAACAGCTTCCGGACTCTGCGGATTCACAGGACCTTGGAAATCAGCTAGGGTGCTGGCCCGTCTAGTGCCAAGCCTCCATCTCTTCCTCAATTCCAGAGTTTTGCAACACAAAAGCAGAGTTTTTAGAAATTCGTAACATTTACTAACTGTGAGCTAAGAGACACTTAGTGGTGTGTGGTATAGTGCCCTTATTTTACAAATGAAGATAGAGGCCCCCAAAAGGTGGGATTTGTCCAAGGTCATGCAGAAAGCCTTGTGTCTCTGACTCCAATGCTGTTTCTCCGTTAATAAGAAACCATTTAGGCTCAGAAGAGATCATTTAGGTCACTGATTTACGGATATAAAATTTGACTTGTAGCCACTTGGACTCCCTTAAAATTCAGTTGCACAGACAGCTGGCATCAATATTCTGATGTAGACCTTTTCATTTATGTTACAATAAAAATATTCCATTAGATTCTTTCTGATCCGCATCCCTTACTCAGGTAGAACTGACCCTCACCCTTTTGAGTTATCATTACACTTTGTACAGATTTATATGATAGAAACTTCAGTTCATGTCATTGTTTTCAAACCTGTCTTTGTCTATCAGAATGTCAGCTGCTACAGGGAAGAGACCACTTCTAATTTATTTTTGTATCCTCAGAGCCCAGAACCATGATCTAGGCATAGAATGGGCTTTATAAATGTATACTGAATTGAACAAAATTAAGAATCATAGAAATGTTAACTCTAACAATAACATACATTAAAAATTAAACTCTGCATGCCTAGACTTCTAGAAACTACGACCATACTTCTTTATAGCACTGGATCCCCAAGGCCAAGGACACATCAATGCAAAATAAGTGCTGACTCACTCAACATGTAGAGTAAAACATTTTATGTAGTTCTCTCTGGGCTTCTATATATGTATGTATATGCTTGCCAAAAAAAAAATACAATAGAGAAAATCAAGCAAGTTAAAATATATCTGAGTGTTATTTAAGCAAGATTAACAATACTTACTGATGGGATTTTCTATTAAATAAAATAATATATGAATTACTGATAGTATGTTTAGAAAACAATTTTTCTCAGATTCAGAATTTGTGTCTTTTCTGTATATATTTTTTCACCTAGTTCTTTAATGCCAAGAGCTTTTAATGTAGAAGCATGTTTGTGATCAGTTAAAGCAGTCCAATATTTTTAGAGATGGGGGTTACTTAATAACGTTGAAGTACAAACACCTGTGCTCAACGCAATCAGATCCAATGTTAGGCAGGCAGCAGACAGACCAGCCATAAAAAGGAAAGGTGTATCAAGGTAGCTGTTATGACAGACCAAAACAGAGAGAAATAAACATTCCTAGATGATACACATGAGTGAAATGTGGCCAGGGAATCCACTCATCAGGGGAAAGCACATCACATGGAAGCAAACAGTGGGAAGAAAAAAAGATAAAAGTCACATTTCAGCAGAGAGTCACGGGTTTTAGGTAACCATGACAACAGCTCAGTGAAATAACAGCTTCTCTTTTTTTCTTTATGGAAAAGATTCTGTGGAATGTCATATGGTTTACTTTTTTTTTTCTTCCCCAGATAAATCTCTAATGCCCTAATAGAATCTTTGCTCCTGACAGCTTTTAATAGCTGGTAGTTTGTTGCTATATACTTCAGCTTAAGAGAACACTATCTAGGTTCACTTCCATTAATATGTCTGTTTCTTCTTTCTATCTCTCTTTTTTCATTTGCCTTGGAACACTTGATTCTTTCCCCCATCCTATGCTATAAATCACCTGTGTTGAAATAGAAAAAGTAGAACTTCCTCATCAGAGGACCTCTGCCACTTGCCAAGTGATATTGAACAAGTTATTTAGAGTCTTTGACCTTTGGTTTATCTCAACAGAAAAAAAAATGGACTGCAATTATTATATATGCTTGTTTTCTGTGTTAATGAGAGCAATAAATGCAATGGAAAGCAGAAAAAATGTAGTGGAAGGGTATAATCTTTTGAGTCGCAGAATCACGAGTTTCAGTGGACTTTTGTAATTTCGCTACAAGATACTGAATAAGTTACTTATTCTGGGAAATGTTTTCTTTAAAATTAGAATAGTATTATAATATATCTTAAGGCATTATTGTGGAAGAATTCAATGGGATCTGTTAATGTAAAATGACTGGTTTAGTATCTGACATATTCTTTCAGTTCCATGGGTGGAAATTATTACTATAACATCTTTATGTATCAAGATTCATTATTACCATAATGAATATTCAGCCAGTGTTATAGAGCCGGGGTTAAAAACAATTTGGTAGCATGCCCAATGGTCTTGTATTCAATAATAGTATAATAGCTGTCATTATTTAAAAAAAAAAAAAAAAAGATTTTTTTAGAGAGAGAGAGAGAGTGCACCAGAGTCGGGTGGGGGGAAGAGGGAGAAGAGAGATTCTCAAGCAGACTCCCCGTTGTGTGCAGAGCCTGACTTTGGGCTGGATCCCACGACCATGAGATCATCCCATCGTCATGAGATCGTGACCGGAGCCGAAATCAAAAGTCAGACACTCAACCGACTGAGCCACCCAGATACCCCAACAGCAATCATTATTAAACACTCTATTTGAAACTATGTAATAAATGCTTTGCATATGTTACATTATTTGATCCTTCATAAAAAGTTGTTATAATCCCCATGTATAGATGAAAAACCTTAATACTCAGAGAGCTTAAGGGATTTGCTCAAGGTCATGTAGCTAATAATAGTCAGTACTAGAAATCATGTCTGACTGTAATCTCCATGATTCTAACCATCATGCTAACAATTTCCCCTCCCTGAGTTTCCTGTATCAAATACAAACATGATGACTTGGAACTAAGTTTTTCAAATTATTTCTGGAACCAGCGTAGATTTCCTCCTTGTTACTAATACATCCAGTCATCTGAACACTTAGTCACTTGGCAGTTGGCATTTCAGCAAAAATAGTTCCATTCAAATCTCTCTAATTTAAACAAGTCTGCTGTAGGAGTTTTTGAGGCACTAGGATCTTTTGAAAAAGTCCTGAGATGGTTTATTATTCCAACAGGAATGAAAATGATTTCATTTATGTACCTGCCATGATGTCTAGGTAATCAACTGATAAAGGAATCCAATATATTATATTCAATGCAAAAGCTAGTTTAGCTTTATTCAACCATTCCTAAGCCATTTACAGGCAGTAATAACTGTCGTGGATATATACATTTCAAATCAGCACAGTGTATTAATGTTCTAGCTCTGGCTCTAAACATCATATGACCTTAGATAAGTCATCCAACAGACCTAGTTCTCAATTACTACATGTGGATAAAATGATTGAGGACTGTCATAAATTGTGAAGAACCCTGGAAACTGACATTTGCTGGGCAAAAAAACTGTGCTATTTTCTATTACTATTTTATTATTAATATAGTAAAACTGTGCTACTTTCTATTAGTATTTTATTTTATTATTAATATAGTAGATGTGAATTATACGTTACTATGTTACATAACGGTATTTTTTATTATATCCTATTATATTTAATATGATTTCCTATTACTATTGAGAAAATTGAGACTTAGCAAGTCTAAATAATGTGCTCACTGACATATCGCTAGTAAGTAGCAGAGTAGGAACTGATGCCCACATCTCCCGGAATTTGGCATCCAGCTCTTTTCCACCACACAACACTATTCATAAGTGATATCTTAGTGACCCCAAATTAAAAGCTTCTCTAAGTGTCTCTCATTCAACACAGTAGCAGCCATTCCTAGGGGGCACGTCTCATTCAGTTCCATCGCGTGGTAATTGAATTTGCTTTCATGTTTCTCTAGAGGGCAAACTCACTGCAACAGGAGACTGATAAGATTGTCTTGATTATTTTTAACTGTGAAGCAAACAAGTGACCAGGAAGCCTTTTCACTTTTAAAGTATTGTTCCATGTCTTGCCTGTTGTCCACAGAAGTATTCATCATAAAACAGGGTTTCAGTTGCTACTAGCCTTTTGTATTCTTCCCTACTCAGACTGCATCTCTTCATCATTAAAATAGGGGAAAAAAATCATATAAATCTACAGGTGGTTGTGTGAAGTTTTAAAAATGTACACAGTGATGCCCTCCTCATGATCTTGATCAGAAAAGGGCCTCATTGTATGTTTAATACAAATGATATGTTTAAAAAAATATTTCCTAGGGCAGAGGTTGGTACCAATTACAGGATGTGTTAAAAAGGCTATTGAACACGTCTGTAGTTTGTAGACGATTCATTGGTTCATCCATTGATTTGTTTATTCATCCATCAAATATTGATTGAGCCTATATTCTAGATTCTGTGGGAAGTCCTAATAATAAAGTTGTCCTCGTGGAGACCACATTTTTTAAGGGAGATGATACTGATTGTTTATCAAGGGAGTCTAAAGTAAATGAAGTCTACATTTGGCAAAGAATAATGTTATCTACTCAGTGGGCACAGGCCTCCTGTGGATGTATGTGCCTGTTAGGAAAAGTCTGTCATGGCAGGGTGGTTCTTGGGAAGTTTTTATTCTGAGTTAAGATTAATATCTTGCTACTTAGTTCATTGCTCCCACTGAATTTAAGGCATCAATGATTTTAAGATGAACTAATTTATATAACACCGAGATGAAAAAATAAAGATAAATCTGCCTATTAAATTATTTTGTGATATTTTTAATTGTTTACAATTTTTATTTTGTATTTATACTGAAAGAGCTCCTTTTGACTTCTTTAGTGAAATATTTTTATCCTAGTTTCTGTTCTGCCTACTTATAAATGAAACTATGAGCAAAGTAATTCAGAGAATATTTCCTCAAAGTTCTTCATATTTAGAGTCAGATCCTTTCAAATTTCTTTCAAAGTGAGAGTTAACAGGGTCGATTTTTTCTAAAATACTGCCTTGGCCTTGAAGATGAGGTCAGATGTCAGATCCATGCCAAGGAGTAAGCATGCTTAGACACGAACAAAGTCATGGCAGGGAAAAGCACGTGTAATGCTCAGAGAAGGCTAGCCAACCTGACTTTAGCAGTCAGATCACAACATTTGTAAGCAAACTGAAGAGTGGTACCCAGACTCCAGCTATATTCTGGAGGTACAATTGACAAGACTGCCTAATGATTTCAATCATTAGCGAAAGACTCAAGAGAACGAAATACAAATGGAAACTCACCAGTTTCTGGCTTAAAAAGGATGACTCATGGGTTTGAGTGGCAGGACAGTTGGTGTGATAGGAAATATGGGGAGAGGAACAGAGTTTGGGGAGTCTAAATGTTACATGTGAGATGCATGGGAGATAACACTGAAATGGGAAGTCAGAGATGAAGATACAGGTTTAAAGTTCAGAGGAGTGGTTTTGAACTAGAGATAGGAATTAGGGAGTTCTCACCAGGTAGTGGGGATGTAAGCCAGGAAAACTGTGAGAGCCAAAAGAGAAGATATGTGGAGAGAGAAAACAAGAGCTGGCACAGATATAAACTCAGGACCAAGGCTAGCTTTGTGGGCATACATCCAGCAAAGTCCTACAATGGATGTTTAACAGATGCTTGTCAGATTAATGTTCTCAACAAATACATATTTGACAAAATTATATGAAGTCATTTTTATTATCCTCCTTTGATTACTGAGGCCTAAGCAATTTAACTCATTTTCTTAAGTAGATGCAAGATGAGAATTCTGTTCTAGATTTTAGCTTTCATTGCCTATTCTACAACCCTCAGAACACTGTTTCCTTGAACAATTTCCTTTAAAATATGAAACTCTAGGTGAATCACCCTGCCTTCCTCCCCCACCCCCTGTTTGATGTTGAGATGGTCACAACTCCCTTAACATAAAGGTTTTTGTGTAGATCATCTGCACCCGCCTGGAGGAGTACAACAGCCGGCAGGCTTTATGCGACGGATCTCCCGAGGGACCACTACTGCGCAATCCTGGAAACCACGACAAAGCCAGGACCCCAAGGCTCCCCTCCTCTGCTGATGTGGAATTCTGCCTAAGTCTGACCCAGTATGAATCCGATTCCATGGATAAAGCTGCCAATTTCAGCTTTAGAAATACACTGGAAGGTAATCCCCTTTTATCACTCATTTAAAATTTCCTCTGTTTTTTTCCTGAACTCCTATCTGTAATCTCTTATTCAAAACCCCAGATATGTTTAAGAATTCAGAATTTTCTGACTAAGGACAAGTGGCATATATGCCTATGTGGCCAACAATCCTCACAGAATCTGAGCAGCACACCGTAATCTGACACACACAACTCTTCAGTAAAAGGTATAAATATACCTGTTGTCACGATAAAGAAAGGCCATTGGCAGTCCAATGGTGAATAAGGTCAGCTTTTTCCAGTGACAGAGTACTGACACTGAACAAAACATTTTAATACCACATAGTGTTTTGGAATTATGGATAAAAGACTGTGGATCTGTCATACTTTGCAAGTTTTAGTATTTTACCTAGTTTAAAAACTTTGAACACTAGGCTTTTTTAGCCAATTCCATTCTTTTGCCTATAATAGGGATAGAATCTATACTTCAGGTTAAGTTGCCATCTCATTATCCCCCAAGATTGCTGTACTTTGTCAGAGATTCCTTCTCAGAGGCTCTTCTAGATCTTACTCTTCCTACAAAGCTCAGTCCTGCTTGCTTTTTTTCAGCACCTGTTGATTCTTCCTTGCTCATGTGGTCCTGGTCACAGAACCCACTTTTTTTTACCTCAATATGCATTATGGAAACAAACTGCAAACAAAACAAAACAAAACAAAACCAACCAACCAAGAACATTCGCTCAAGTCACAGATTTAATGGGAAGTTTGGTGAGAGAGAGGGCTAACTTGTTGAAAAGTCAACAACTCCACATTTAACACTAAACAGTCTACCTCTTTGGCACCCTACTGTGTAGACAAAACTTTCTCTCATTTCTTTCTTCTAAACTTTCTTTTTTTGTTTTCTTGTCATTGTGGTTGTTGTTTTATCTTCTAACTTCTGTTGCTCAGCTATATAGAATAGTTTTACTGTCTCTTTCACATCCCTGGGTCCATCCAACCATAACCTTTGGGACTTGATCTCCTTGAGAAGCAGTTTAAACAAGGAGTATATCACCTATATCACCCTAAAGAGGATTCCTCTTCCAGTCATTAAAATAAAAATTGTGTTTATCTTCTGAAAGTAATATTAATGATTAACATTTTACAGCTAATCGCTGTGCCAAACACTGTCTCACTTAATTCTTACAACCATCCTCTGAGAAATAGAGCACCATTATTTTGAGTTAAAAGAGAGGAGACAGAATTAGAAATATTATATAATTTGGCTATAAGCATTCGTTAAGTGACTGAGCTAAATCTGTTCTGAGAATTGTCAATTGCCAAAACCCAAGAGTCCTTTCCATTGTACTCTGATGAACCAGAATGGGTTAAGAGTTTCTTGAGAGTGAACAATAAATATATCAAACTGGACCTTTAATGATATAATATTGGAAAGCAGTGCATGGTGCCATGAGTCTCAGAGCCTATACGCTGAGACAAAGGTGCACACACAAGTGGGCAGTTACCATCTGGGAGGATTGGGTGTCCCACTGGACTATGCAGAGGTTAAAAGCAGGACTCCAAATTCTGACTTAACGACACTGCAAAGTTGGGCCTCATCCTTAAGGAAACAGAAGTAATCTATAGGTTTTTCAGGCAGATTTTCTAGAAGTGAGAAAGCATGAATTATGTTACTAAGAAACATCAAGGAACATGGGCTGGTCACAGAAGAAAGGTAGCAGAGCTACACTTTTCTGGAACTAGTTGTGTCAACTCAGCCCGTGGCTTCCAAATGAGTTTCTAATGCAGTTAATTATTCTTATTCACACATAGTCTAGCATGCTTTCAAGGAGAAGAAAAAAGGCATACCATACCATAGCACATTGTCTGGCACATGACAGGTGCTCAGTAAGTTTTTGATAACTGAATACATAAATAAAACTGAATGCATTTCAAATTGCATCTAACCCACCACTTAGCTTATTTATCCCTGTTGTATGTTGCCAACATACTGGTGGGAAAACATTAGCAAACACTGATCTGAGCTATAAATGAAGGCTTTCCCTGATCAAGGGCACTTCTTTTATCCTTTTCTTTAAACTTTTATTCAGAAATAATTTCAATCCTATAGAAAAATTACAACAATAAAATAATACAAAGACACACATAAACCCATATTCACTCAGTGTGTACATTACATCTTTCCCAAACTGAACCATGTGAAGGTGAGTTGTATGGATTAGAACCCTTTATCCCTGGATACATCAGTGTATTTTTCCTTAGAGTAGGAATATTCTCATACATAATCACAGACCAGTTATTAACTCGAGTAAATTCTATATTAATATAAAGCTTTATTCTAATCTAATATTTATATTCTGTTTTTAATGACCTAATAATGTCCTTTATAACATTTTTCCCCTTCATAACAGGATCCAGACTAGAGTAGGTAACCTTTGGTTGCCATGTCTCTTTAGCCTTCTTTCATCTGAAATATTTTTACAGATACGCCTTTTTTAATTTAATGAGATTGGCACTTTGGGAGAATAGAGTTTCTCCTACCATTTGTGAATAGGATTTCCTTTTTTTTGAGTCTGTCTAATATTTCCTCATAAATGGGTGCAGGTAATGCCTTCTTATCCAGAATTCTCTGTAGGTGGTTTTGTGTCTTTCTATGAGAGTATCCCTTTGGGAGACAGAGGACAACCATCTGTCTCACATTGGTGATGTGAAGTTTGATCATCTGCTCCAGGTATGGTCCAATTTCCCCACTCCATAATTACTTATTTTCTCTCTCTCAAAATAATAAATTGACTACATGGAGATTTTTTTAACGCTATGCAAATATTCTACATTCTCCTACAGTTGCCATCCAGTGGTGGTTACAAAATGATGATTTTCTATCTTCAGCATTTCCTTTACATTTATTAGCACTCAAGATTCTACAGTTAGCAAGATCCCACCTCCCTGGTGGGCTTCCTCTCTATCATCTATCCATCTATCTATCTATCTATCTATCCATCTAATTATTTACCTATCATCTATCTTATCTATGTAGATAGATAATCTATCAATCTATTTTAATCCACCTATGATATCAGTAAAGACTTTCAGCTCTCAGGATTTCTTCAATCGTATATAATTCTTTAAGGGGTAAAATTATCTTAGTGCTTAGATGGTTCCAGATTCCATCTATGGGCACCCCATTCAAGCTGGCTTTTGTGTCTCTACTTCACCTCCCCATTATTTTTTTTTTAGCATTTTCTTTCTTTCTGATATAACAAAGGGTTCTAGAGTCATCTTGTATCTGCAGTGCCTCAGGCCTGAATCAGTCATATTTTTTTCAGAAGCAATGGTTCCTTTCTGTGGGGAAGGATATCAGGAACAAAGATCTGGGAGCAAGTCTTGCTCACTGGACACAGTTTAAAATCAGAATGAGGTGGGATGTGGGATGTCTTGACCTACAAGGAGTGCTCAAGTGAGTATAGCTGTGAGGAGCATAGGGTGGGAGAAGCAGGAGCAAAGACAGCTACTGCATTCTTCTCTCAATAAATGCAGGTAGAATGGAATGGTCAGTTTTGATTGATCCTCACAGTTATTGCTGCCCTTTGATTCTTTCCAGCCACCCAGGCACCCAGTAATTGTGGATCTTAATTTTTTTTTATAAACCCAAACTTGACAAACGGTAATTTATTTAAAGTTGAATTGCATTGTCAAATATGAAGCCATAAAATGAAGTTTTTATTAAACCTATTAAAATCTATCTTATATTATGAGGGGATTCCCCCCCATATTTATTTTGTAATATCAAGCACATATCACTTGCAAAATATGGGTACCCTTGGACTTGTTGATCTTTCATATTTTGAAATATGTCTAATATCAAAAAGTCACATTCACCCAGAAATGTTAAAGGTATTGAGAATCTCTTGAGCTTACAGTGATGGGATTAAATTTTTCATAATTCTAATTTTTGCTTAAAAACTCAAATTTTATCATGGGCAAAACAATATCATCAGTTTTTTGTGTTTTTTTTTTAAGATTTACTTATTTATTTGAGAGAGAGTGGAAGGATCACTCCCCGGTGATATTGAGGGAGAGAATCTCAAGTAGACTCTCCCCTGAGCATGGGACTCAATGTGGGGCTCTATTGCAGAATCCTGAGATCATGATCTGAGCTTAAACCAAGAATCAGAGGCTTAACCAACTCTATTGAGCCACCCAGTGCCCCATCAGCTATTTTCTTTTAAGTGACATACTTATCTTGTTCAATATCAAGAAAATTTCTGCCAAATGCCTAAGTCTGAATAACCAGAGTTTATGTCTCAGTTGTGCATTCAGGTAGAAATGGATTCCATAAAAAGCATGGTTATTTCAGTTCTCAATGCAAACAATGGCACAACTGCTTTTCTTCTAGATAACCATCATACTTAAGAGTGCAGCAGAAGTATTACATATGTATGTTCCATTCTGGCTTCTCTAGGTTACCAGAACAGAACTTTGGTCTCTGATATCCTCCCAGTCATATTTCTGTTCTATGGCCCAGCACTAATCACTCCACTCTGTGTGGGTATCTTAGAAGAAATCATTGTGCAAAAACAATGGACTTTTTAGAAGACCAAAAATACAGAAGAATCACAGTCAACAAACTAATAAATGTACATAGACTTCCACTTCTGGGAAAGTGGAGTAGATACACATTTCCTTATTCCCCTCTCTCAGTACAACCAAAATCTCTGTATATTGTACATAAAACAGAATAATACAAATGGTGGAGATAAGGCAGACTTGCTAGAGAACCTGGGACCTCTTGATGTGATAAGGAGTCCCTTGTGCTTTCTTTTTGCCTCATATATCCAAGATCTAGAGCTGAAGAAGCCTGGAAATAGTAAGAAGTTTAGAAAAAGACAAAAACAAACTAAAGAGCAACAAAAATTTGCTCTCTTTAGCCAAAAGAAATAGGGAAGAAAGTTTTTAGGCAATAACCACTATACTCCATTCAAACAATAAAAATACAAAAAAAAAAAAAAGGAAAAAAGAA